ACAAAAGGAATCCCACATCTGATAACCCATGATGCTGCACCATTTGCTACCCTGATCCCCTCATTAAGGTGAATGACACCATCCAGGTTGATTTGGATACTAACAAGATTAACAATTTTATCAAGTTTGACTCTGATAACCTGTGTAATGGTGACTAGAGGTGCCAGCTTAGGAAGGACTGGTGTGATAACCATCAGGGAGAGACATCCTGGCTCTTTTGATGTGTTTCATGTGAAAGATGCCAATGGCAACAGCTTTGCCACCCGGCTCTCCAACATTCTTGTTATTGGCAAAGGCACCAAACCATGGGTATTTCTCTTCCACGGGGAAAGGACATCCCTCTCACCACTGTGGAAGAGAGACAAGAGGCTGGCAGTCAAACAGAGCAGCAGGTGAAATAGTCTCTAGGTGATTAAGAGGAGGGAAGTTATCTGTACTCAAGTAATAAATACAGCATGGTAGCATGCTCAAAAAAGAAAACTACCTCATTGAGCCCACAAGGAACTCAGACCCCTTACTCTCTTGGGCTCCTACTGTAGACCCCTGAACACACCTCTGCCCCTCCATTTTTCCCTCCTCACATCCCACCCACACCCCTCTTGCTCTCCTCCCCAGTTCTGCCCTGTAGTAACTGTACTCATCTGCAGTGCTGCCTTCTTTCCTGACACCCCTTCCCATGCCTGTGTCCCGCCACACAACCAGGCTGATTAACTCCCTTCTGAAGCTATAGCTGAGAAACCAGCTCCTGCGGACCCTGCCCAGTGAGGTGCCTAGCTAGTGCTCCCTAGCATTTGTGCTCATCGACATAGATCTAACATTTACTTATTAATGAGTCTCTCTCTCCAGCTAGACCCTGAACACCGTGGACAGGAACTGTGCTTCACTCGCTTGCAGGGTTAACCCTTAACTGGGGACAGAGGAACACTGTAAATAAAGTGCTGCAAAGTGGGAGCTTACCATTCATTACATCTTGCTTAAACTGAAAATACATACCCACCACTTCCTGCTCCTTTTATGACTATGCCCTGGAAGAGTCATGCTCTCAAGTGTTGTAAGAAATTAGGAAAAGCAGTAAGGGTCACAAGGACTTGGGACTCTCTTTACTCATTCTCTTGGTAGATTCATCTAGCCAAAATTGGCAAACTCCCATTTCCAACTATTTGGTAATTTTATGGAATGGTAACAGGAGCACTAACTGTAGCATTTCATTTATTCTTTGAACACAGCTTATCCATTAACACCTTTTCTAGATTACCCTCATACTATTCTGTTCTTCCTACTACCAGGCTAAAAGTAAGCACTTTCAGTACGGAAGATGTCTGCACCATGAATATATAAGCACTCAGCAAAGAAATCATAAGTCAACCTGTTTTTCACTTTCTAGGTACAGTCCACATCTTTCAGTCAGATTAAAAGTCAAAATAAGTAGAATAAAAACAAAGCAGCCAGACAAGGGGCTGCTCTACTTTTAAACCACATGTGTCCCTAGGGTAGCTTTAACACTCTCCACCAGGAACTGCAGGTCTGGATTGGGCACTTTGATAGAGCCCATCTGTGACCCACAGTTTAATTCTGCACAGGGCAAAAAGCATCTGTCACTAAGATGTTGCCTTCTACACTACAATTTGCTGTGTACCTTTATGTGACTAAATGAAAACCAAACACCAGGACAAAGGTTCTTACCAATAAAACTGAAACTGTAAAACTGACTAATAAGCTATACAAGTTGCTTAATGAAGCAGAGCCAATTATAACACGAACTACAATAAATAGCTATTATAAGCATCAACACTATGTTGTGTTTCTCTTGGCCCACTAGAACTAAACTGCTTCAAATGCAGAGCTACTATTCTCAGACCCACTACATGAAAACCAAGCAGGGTAAGCAGTCCAAAACAGCAATGAGTTCCAAATTTAGGGAGCGAAAGGAAGAAGAAAACTAGACCCTGTTTCCAAGCTACTAAATATGACAACCTCCCCTCTAACCACAAGGATCAGGACACCCCCACCCCACCCCACCCCTGTATTCACAGCAGTAGTAAGGGAAGTCCCTTAAAGAGGTGCTCAGAGGGCCAGGGACTTAGCTCAGTGGCTCTGCCACCTGCCTCAAAAGCACAAGGTCTGGAGTTGGATCCCTGGTATCCCCCCAAAACAAATAAATACAGAGGTGCTCAGAAATGCCTGGCCCAAGGCATTAATGGGCCTAGGAAAAATGTCTTATAGCTCCCAAGACTCTCGCCTCCCCTGAAATATCCAGGGAAGAGCAAGTGTTGTAGGTGAATAAAGGGAGGCTTCCTCTGGGTCAGCACTTGGAACAATGCCACTTGCACTTACTATGACCCAATTCAGATTGGCTGTTTCCAAGATTTGGAAAGGTGAAGAAAAGACTATTTAGGACACCATTCAGCTGTCACAAATTCAGGACCAGGAGACAGTGGTCATGAACCTCAGATAACACACTCCATTAAATATCACTATTCTGCCGGGCCTGGTGGCGCACGTCTTTAATCCCAGCACTTGGGAGGCTGATGCAAGAGGATCGCTGAGTTAAAAAAAAAAAAAAGTATATAAATAAATACCATTACTCTTTGAAAATATATCACCCAGAAATCTCCTTAACAACATTAAAAATATGCTGAACATCGATGCTAGATTCCATTTTCCCAAAGGTCTATTTTTAAAAAGGTATGTATCTATGAGAACAAAAACAAAAGAAGAACCATGACAAGAAACTTTTTTTTTTTTTGAGACAGGGTCTCACTTTATAGTTCAGGCTGGCCTTGAAATCACAGCAATCCTCCTGCCTCAGCTTCCCAAGTTCTGGGATTGATTACAGGCATGTGCCACCACACCTGGCTCAAGCAAGAAACTTTTGGAAGCTAGACATATGAAAACTGACTTTGACCAAAAAAATATGAATTATAAGCTTAAAATGGGGAATGCTAAAAATAAATCCAGTTTTAACTGCAGAAGACCCAAAAGACTCAAAGTATCTGTTTCCATTTGGAAGTGAAGGAATAGGATAGACCCAAAATACAGGAAAAAGGATCAAATCCTTAAAGTCTGTTTAAACATACACAAAACCATATGATCATCTCAACAGCTAAACACCAGAGAATCACTATACTCCTTTGGGATAAAACATACAACAAACTAGGTGCAGAATAGCAACTTCCACGTAAAAGACTGAGCCAGGAATGCTGGCATAAACCTGTAATCTAAGCACTCTGGGAAGCTGAGGTAAGAGGATCACAAGTTTGAGATTAGCCTAAGTAACTTAGCAAGACACACAATTTAAAAAAGACGTGAAGAAGAATCTGAAGCTGAGATTAAGAATTTATAAAAAGGATCTCAAGTTCAAGTCCCATCTGAATAACTCGGTGACTTAACAAGATGCTTTCTAAATAAATAAATATTTTAAAAGGGCTGGGGATGAAGTTCAGTACAAAGGCATTGGGCATAATCACCAATATCACACACAAATATGTAAGACCAAAAAAAAAAAAGAGTAAAACAAAGTTTCCGTTAAGATCGGGTACAAGACAAGAATGTCCACTGTCACAACTGATAAACAACACTGTTCTTGAAGGTCTTAAACAGAGCAACTACTCAGTAAAATAAATAAATAAATGGCATATAATTGGAAAAGAAGTAGTAAGATTGGCACCATTCTCAGATGACACATCCTCACATATAATCCTAAAGAACCTAAAGAAAAATATTAGCGCTAATAAATTCAGCAAAGTTGCAGGATGCAAGATCAGCACACAAAAACCAATTGTTGCCAAATGTGTGGGGGGAGGCAATCGGCTGTAAATTCCAGCGTTCCGGGAGGCTGAGGCAGGAGGATCACCAGTTCATGACTAGACTAAAAAAAAAAAAAATTTTTTTTGTACAGGGGATCAAACTCGGGAACCTGCACTCGCGAAGCAGAAGCAGCACCACTGAGCTAAATCTCCAGCCCAAGACTCAGAATGTAGCTCAAAAAACAAAATAAAAAATTTTTAAAAACACCCCGGTTGCACTTGTACACCATAACATTGAACAATCTGAAATGAAAATTCGTCTTACAGTAGCATCAGAAGGAATAAAAATTTTAGAAACAAATTTAACCAAACAAATGACATGACAAGACTTATACTGAAAATCACAAAAACCTTGTTGAAAGAAATTTTAAAAGGCCTACCTACCAGGCTCAAGGATTAAAAGACTACGCAAATATTGTAATGCCAGTAACCCTCCAAAGTGATTTAGAGATTCAACACTACCTCTATAATGTTAACTTTTTGTGCAGACATGAAAAAGCCAATCCTTAAATTCAGACAACTGTGAAAGGTCTCAAATAACAAAAAATAATCTTGGAAGGAAAAAAAAGTTGGAGGAAACACACCTCGGTATTTCAAAACTTTCTACAAAAACTGTGGTCCAGGTGTAAGGACACAGAGTAACACAGAGACACAGAGTAACAGATCAAAACTCAGGCTCAAGAAGAGACAAACGCCAGTGACCAGCACAGGTGACGGTCCCGCGTGCCCGGCTGTGAGAGGGCAGGTGGCTCAGTCTTCTCGCCC